ATGCTTCCTTCCTTGACCAACTTGAACTCATGAAGTTGCCGTCGCCGTTGCACCCCATTGTGCATACTTTGTCGCAGGAAGAACGTCTTTAGAATGTCCCATGCTTCTGCCGTCGACTTCGCCGTGCGCACCATTGAGTGAAGATTTGTGCTGATCATTGTAGACGCAATCACAAAGGCTTTTATGTCGTTAACTTTCCCAGTTGACGCAGCTGCATCTCCTTCTTCCATGGCATTCATAGCGTCAAGATGCTCTAACAATCTCTCTTTTTCCAGCCTCATCCTCGCGTTGAACTCCCACACGAAGTAGTTGTCTTAACGAAGGATGTCGCCCGCGTCCGGCGTGGTTGGGCTCATAACTTTTTGACTTTTGGCAGCATCCAAGGGCGATGTAGGATAGAGACGCTAAGAAGAAGGTAAAATGGAAAGTCAATTATCATCTAGCTAGGTCCTCAGTTCGTCTCGTTGTACTACTCTAAGCCTATCGATATCGACTCAACGATGTCAGTCACCAAACGATGAGTAGATCCCATCGTTACACACAATCATGCACTTTTGTCCTTGCCATGTGGTCGCTAGGACCCCATACGACAAAATTCCCGATAATTCGGAGTACGTGAGTTGGCGTACCAATGTCCATATCTTAAAGTCGTGCGCTACTGGACTGTGTAATTGATGTACGCAATTTTTTTTCGATGTCGACGAATCGAGAGACGTTGTACACACGAATCTCATATTATACATTCCAAAAAAATCCGTAATGAGTCACTTTAGTATGCATGTACCAAGGCGACCACTACAAAACCGCATGTCTAATTTACAAACGGTAGACTAAGCAATTGAAAGGTAAGAATGTCAAAAACTGCTTTTTGCCGTATTACGGTCGAAAAATAAGAGGTGCATATATTTGTGACGGGGTTGTAGCTTATTGTCTTCATGTTTTGCAGCAAATCGCAGGAATCATGATAATTTACCGTGTTACACTACACTGCGACTATTATTCCGTCCTTCAGCAATTATGTGCTTTGCTCGCTGACAGGCAACGTGACGATTCCGCTTCGGCGAATGCTCTCCGTCTATTTGGGCCTGAATGGTTTTACGAAGACGCATCAATTCCTGGGATGTTGATATAGATCTGAGAAAGGGAGGCAGCGTTCGGCCCACGACACATCCTTCGTCAGACCTTAGATGACGACACATTTGTCTTCAGAACCTTAGCGCAGCTCTTGGCGTGCCCGTACTCTTGGCACTTGGCCACGCCGTGCGTTGGGGCGTATAATGTCTTCTGTGTTTTGGCCGGATTAAACACGAACTGCTCGTATTAGCAATGGTTTCCGGATGGAATGTCGTCACGCCGTGGAGATAGGTTTTTGTAACTAAGTTGTGCATTATTATAAAATTTGGCATCTGGGATTAGCGAAAGTGGCTTCTCGTCCCTTTCAGGATCGTTGTGAGCATCGACGTTGCATTGACGAGATCGTGACTGACATTGGTCGTATCATGTGTTTAACGTTAATATGTGCAAGCCCAGAGACAAATTTCTTTGTAAGAAGGAGGTTAGTATAGTCCGCTCTACGATCTTTCATGTCGAATACCGAGCTTTTGTGGAGGAAGCTACTCCCGGTGGATTGAGATTGGCGCATTAGCATCAGCAAGCAGTTGCGCTACGTAAGCTGCCATGTCTCACGTAGTTTAGATCGTAATGATCCCGTAGTGTCACGGGCGAGGCTGAGGGTTTAGTCTCTCAGACTGATCGATGACTGAACAGCTGGTCACTTGCATAAAGGGCCATTGACCTAGTAAATGTTATTGTGCGTCTCTACACTTTGGTATCAACAATTTCAATACCATAAGCCCTCTCCATTATCTATGGGGAGGTGATGCAACTTCGTTTCCCCGCTATCCATTTAACAAGTCTTCCATATCTATTTAACTGTCCCCACAACTTATCGCCGCATTGTGCGCCTCGTTTCTATTGTACCTCAAGAGTGCGACGTGCTTTGCTAATCTGGCCGTGTCGTCAGAGCCCGTCCATCGCGTTCGGCCCCTCGATATGTAAACGCGAATGAGGCGAAGTATGTTTGACGTTCGCAATGTTCTATTTTCCCTATTTGTTATTAATAGGATTGGAAACTGATATGGTGATGTAAAGTGGCAATTGACAAATCATCACTATTTTGATTCTGTAATCGTTCTTACCGGCCATTTAGAAATAAATGGCTTTCAAGATTGATCGATACAACGATGTGTATATTTCTGTAATGGTCTTATGATTGGAGCTTTACAGATCTTTGTGCGGTTGGTTATACTCCTACGTTATTGCAATTTGAAATGCAGAATTTGATATCGTAAGTACAGATTTCAGGAAAAAGTTGTCTCTCGAATTGTTTACATTTGAAAATAGCAGTAAAGTAAAAGTGCGATTTGAGAACATTACTAAATCCTACAATTTCCATGTATGGACGGTAAAACTTCAAATTCGATCATAAAAATATGTCCGCCGAGAGGGCGGGTAATGAGGTTGTCTAATTTTGAAATGAATTTTAGACATGGTGACATTTTCCTTTTTAAACAAGCTGCCTACCGTAACATTCAAGGGGCAAAGCAAGCTAAATGAGATTGTAAAGACTAAGAACCCACCAGTCTTGACAGCAAAACGACTTCGACAGCATGAAAAGCTTCTTCCTATAGTATTCAGCTAGGTTTACGGCAAGTCTCGAGCATGATACGATCGATTTGACGCGGCAGGTAAGTATATACCACTCTACATGTGACGGCTCAAGATATCATAGGCTCCTCGATCGTTACATGACTGGATGAATTCAGTTCACTTGCTAACAAGGCAGGATAAGTTGGTATTAGCTAGAATGCAATCACAATATACCGCGAGAACGGTCTGAAGACATAGTCATCATTCTACCAGAAAGTTGACGTTATTCAGGACTTTACGTGAAGAATATCGCACAAAACTTAGGCAAGCGGATCTCCCAACACCTGGCACGAGTAGATATCTACTATGGCCGCAAGACAAGGATCCCAAACTGGTATGAATAACAAGCACGTTAAGGACGCAAGAGATACAAAACGAAGCATATGAACCGGAATATTCTCACAGGAAGTCAGCATTGTGTTTTGGCAACTTGTGGATTTCAGATGCATCTATATTTATAGTAGCGACTTCTCCACCAGAGATAAAGGAAATGCATACTTAGCAGGCAGCGGGGGTGTCTCGTTGCCCGCTACGTGTAGATCTTGCCGTGATGTCCACCCACACGCGTATGCCTTGTATGCGCCATTATGTGTGCAATATCTAATTTGCTTGTGGCCTATTATTAATCAAAAGTATATGTAGAAACGAAGCAAATGCCGAGCGAGATGTACGACGAGAACGAAGGCCGTAGTAAGCTATTTTATCGTGCGCGTCTAAAGTGATAGTGAATGACGAACCGGTTTGTTGAAGCTATCATTCTAGCAATCGTTTTCTAAAAAAATAATGTTTGAGTCGTTAAGCGAAATTCAGAAACGGATTACTGTGCAAACAGCATCCGATTCGTGCGTTGTCGAAGACGTGTGCGAAAGCTGTAAAACAAGAAACGCAATCCTCTGTGTATGCTTACAATACCGTATGACAGAAGACAAAGTCGTATGTATGGTTTCGTTGTGTTTGTGCAACACTGCTGTCACCTGTACTTATCTCACTACTAGTGCTCTGTGGTAAACTCGGACGTCTAACGGTCTCTTCATGCGCAACGCTTTGACAAATGCTCCTGTACTCAAGATTCTTGTATCTAGTTGACGTCTGGTGATTGTCACTACCTGTGGTAGCGCTACATTGGCGTTTCGATACATCCGAGATCACACGTGTAGGCATATAAAGCCTGCTCGAGCTAGGCAGAATGAACCAGAGCTATCTCTTGCGTCCAACAGCGCCATCGCCAGTCCAGCTTCCGCTTTTGTGCGCCCTGACCGAGAAATATGCTCGATGTTGCCCTTGCTGCGACTTGGACATCTCAAGAGTCCAATGTTGTCGCGCAAGAGTCTGAACGAACATCGATCCAGACATCTGTGCCGTTTCACACACTGTAAAAGGCTCTCTCCGCGAACACATGCTCCTGTATGTCTGCCAGCGCCCTCACTCTGCGCTGCACAATTGAACAGCCAGCAACATATGAATAGCTTAGCAGCAACGACGTCCGTTCGCCGGCCTGTCACAGCGCATGCAGACCACGACACAGTTTAGTGGTTCGGGCAATAGCTCCCGGCTATACGCACATAAACACAGCGGATCAAAACGTGGATCTGCTCTACGCGACATGCACGCAACGCGGCAGATAGTGCCTCGTCACTCGCGCAAGTCGAAATTGCTGGTGACTCACTTTGTGGACAATGGAAGAACTGCGATACAAAGCTGCTGTCATTCCGACGGCATGAGGAGCTTGAATTAGCGCGCTCTATTGTCGCTAAATTTGCTCGCTGCCCTATTTCCTCTTGGTGGCGCAATCACCTCGTCTCGCTGTCAACGACATGAAGTGACTAACGCTACCACATGACCGACTAGTTTTCTGTATCAAAGTCACACGCCGTAATTAAGCCTCAGCGCGATAGGAGTCGCTGTATTTTTCTGTAATCTATGCTTCGATTGGTCATTTATCGCTCTTACGTGTTTCTATCCAACCCACGCGCAGTGTTTTATCTCACAAAGACTTACGCACACCACACTTGGGCTTTGTATCGCTTGCCCTTCCCCTCTTCAGACGCGGGCGAGCAGCCACTCTCACACCGGCGCCATCAGCGACGAGTGACGTACGCGCCAGTCCATCGTGCGCGTCGACGGCATCCCGAGCAGCAGAGGCAGCAGCAGAAGCAGTAGCAGGAGGAGCAGCAGGAGGAGCAGCAGTGGCATCAGCAGGAGGAGTGGCATCAGCGGTAGCAGCGACAGTGGCAGCAGCAGCTTCCCGCTGCGTCCTTATAGCGTGACCGTGTGCTGCTTGCTCCCGCCGGATGATGCGAGACGTGAGCGCGCGCTTCAAGTATAGCGAGCGCGAGTTCCACGCGCAGCACAAGAAGAGAGGCAGCGACAGCAGCAGAAGCAGCGACGTAGAGACGAAACGGGCGATTTCTGGACCGCTTGAAGCGAAAGAAGGCGTCGCGGCGCTGCAAGTAGATGCGTGTCCGTCACGTGAACTCATCCACAGCCATATTCGAAGGTACTATCGGAACGTCGACGGCGCTGCTCAAGTGACGACCGATTATGAGACTGTGAGCGCCCGCATCTGCCGAGATTTGGCTCCGTTTACGATTCTTAAACTTGGCGGCTTTTCCTTGGGTGATGCCTGTACGAAGTTGCTAGGAGACGTGCTGGCCCAAGGCACCTCGAAGCTGCGGACGCTAGATCTTGGGTTCAATCGACTTACCGACAGCGGCGCGACGCAATTAGCCGATGCACTAAAGACGAACACGTCGCTCGAGAGTTTGTATCTTTCAGGAAATGATATTGGACCTGCAGGTGCTCGTGCCCTTGCAGAGGCGCTGCTTCAGAACACGCACCTGCGCAGCTTGCATCTCAGTGGCAACAATATTGGTGAAGAAGGTGCTCGCTTCCTGGCTGATGGAATTGCAGGTAACACAAGTTTGAGGGCGCTGTACTTGGGCACTAATGGAATTGGATCGGCGGGCATGCGGAGTTTAGCTACTGCACTAACACAAAACACGTCACTGGAAGAGCTAACGCTGGGACAAAATAAAGTCGGAAGTGAAGGCGTGCGCTGCTTGGCATCAGCTTTCGCTGCAGGTCACGTGGCGCTGTTAACGTTGGAACTGGGAAAGAATGGCGTGGATCACGAGGGCGCTATTGCACTAGCCCGTTCGTTGTGCGGTGTGAATCGGTTGCAGAACCTGTATATGGATCACAACCCGCTCGGAGACGTGGGAGCAAGTGCTTTTGGAGCACTGCTTGCCCAGAACACTGAACTGCGGGTACTCGACTTGAGCTACACGCAGATGTCGTTGTTGGGATTGCGTGAGCTCAGTGTTGTAGGATTGGCCCGCAGTCGCGCGCTGCTCTGTCTGCTCGTGGATGGTCACGACTGGGCGAGCACTCAATACATGAAAAAGAACCAGCACACGAGCTTGATTGGTGCTTCGCTAGCGACCGATGGTGCCAACAACTACGCTGCATCATGCATCGTGGGAGCCATTAACATCAATGCAAACTCGGTGTTGTTCAAGCTCACCGGTGTGGAGTTAAGTCTCGTGGTGGCTCTTCCTCTACCATCTGTTCCTAGTGATGGCAACAGAAAATGCGATGCAATATCCCGCAATGAGTTGGTGCTGAAGAGTCTTCACGAGAGTCGCGTCGCAAAGCAGGCTGCATCGGGAGTCCCGCCTAGCCACAAGCGAAAAACTACAGAGGAGGCAGGTAATGCTGCAGTTGACGAGACAAGAGCAGAAGGCGTGAGCTCAGATCCAGACACTGATGCTGGTGAGTGCTCGCTTCCAGTGGTGCAGCACCCTAAGTTCCAGAGGCTTGAGGGCAACATCAAGGCAGGCTCATCGTCAGGTAGTCTTAGCAGCAGTAACGTAGGTGGAAGTGGCGGTCGCTCGCGTTCAGGGAGTGCCAATGTGCTGCTTGGACTGCTGCCTTCTCCCCACTACGTGGCAGGAAGCGGTGCATCCTGCTCACCAGGAAGCAGTAGGGGTAGCTCTCCATCCAAGACGAGTTGCAATCGACCACCGCGTGTGATTCGGATCCCATCGCGTGGCTCTACGGGTCGCCTTGCGCGGTCGAGCGGATCTTGCGAAATGCGACTGTCGCTTAAAAGCCCACGCTATGAAAGCACAATGGGGCTGAATGTCCGCAAGGTCGTTTCTGACATCTCAAAGCTGCCGTTTGATGCCGATGAGTTCAATACACTCCAAGCGTACTACTTGGGAGGCCGATGCACCACTGGGTCAAACGGGTGCAGCAACCGGAATGTCGACGACGTGACGGGCGAGCAGACACTGTGCCCCGCTTGTAAATCTAGTCGATTGGCAAGTTATTGCCGCACGATGGTAAGCTTGCAGCCACTTTTTCGTATCTCCGTACCGCTGACGTGATTGTGATATGTGGTTTGTTGTCCATGCGCAGGCGCTTTTGACACGACTTGAAGCCGCTAAACAGGCGACAGACAGCGTGTTGCTCGTGCTGCTGCGCCAGCTGCACTACCTTGTCGGCGCTTTTCAACACGTCGAAAACGCTGTTCAAACCATCGATGATTTTCTCGTGTCAGCGCACGAGGCAGTCGATGAACCGCAACAGATTGCCAGCGAACTACGGGCTTCGCCAAGGGGAGCTAGCCAGCACACGCAATAGACAGCAAGGCGTCGAGCACGCGCAGCACGTCTATCGTGCCGGAACGTCTGCGAAACGAGCACCGATGCGATAGTCAGCCAGCCAGCGTTTGCTTGAAGCAAGCATATGAGAGTATTTATCAGTAGACAGTATGTTTCCACCAGTGCCACTAGTGTCTCATAAAGAGAGTACCATGTTCACATGTACGTATGACCCGCACAATGTCCTTCTGCGGTAGTTGAATCGCAGTGCTGCTGCAGGTGGTACCACCACGTCGAGCGATCGGTACACAAACAGTTGTCGCGTTGTGTAGCCACCGTCTTTTCAGCCAATCGGTCTTGTCCCTTCCCCCCCTCTCTCTCTCTTCGTTGTGAAAGGTCGACGCCGATCATCTCATTATCCAATTGACTTCACCGACCGCGTACCCCCAAAGCGCGAGCCAATCAGAGACCACCACCAACACCAATAACAATACCAGCAGCGACGACCATGAGCAGCGTGAGCGTCCTCGACAAGACGCCGCGCGTGGCCGAAGAGACCACCAAGTACCCGCGGGCCGAGCGTCTGGGCGAGCTCAAGTACGGCACCGCAGGGTTCCGCGAAGACGCGGGTCTGCTGGTGTCCACGTGTCACCGCATGGGGATGTTGGCGGTGCTGCGGTCCAAGAGCGTGGGGAAGATCGTGGGCGTGATGATCACGGCCTCGCACAACGCAGCGAGCGACAACGGGCTCAAGATCATTGACCCCAAGGGCGACATGCTGCGCCACGAGTGGGAGCAGTACGCCGTGCAACTGGCGAATGCCGCGCAGGACGCGGTCGTTGAAGTGCTGGACTCGATCGTAGCGGCCGAGAAGATCGACTTGGACCAGACGGGCAACGTCTTTATTGCAAAGGACACGAGGCCGTCGAGCGAGCACCTGGCCGAGCTGACGCGCGAGGGGGCGCTCGTGATTGGCGGGAACGTGCTGGACTTTGGACTGCAGACGACGCCGCAGCTGCATCATCTCGTCCGCATGGTACTGTGTGTCTGCATCTTGTGTTGTAGGAGAGAGAGGACGAAGGGGGGGGGCGACTGTGGTGCTGACACGTTGTTGTTGTTGTTGTTGGTTGTTCATGGTGGTGGTGGTGGCATTGACTTGTGTAGTGGAACTACGAGCAGTACAACAAGGGCGACTGGGCGTCCGAAGTCGGGTACTACAATATGCTCGGCGATGCGTTCAAGCAGCTCACCGCCACGCACGACTCCAAGGTGATATGTGCTTTTTGCAGCTCGAGCATCGGTCGTGTTCTCGATACGGTCCTGACGCTGTCTTGTGCTGTTTTAGCGCTTGGAGACGCGGTCACCACTATATGTGGACTGCGCCCATGGTGTCGGTGCGCTGCAGGTTGCTAAGATGGGCAAGGATCTGGGAGACTCGCTTCGTCTTGAAATCGTCAACACGCCCAGTGATGGTGAGCTGAACCTCCAGTGCGGCGCTGAGCACGTGGAAAAGTCGCGCCAGCCGCCTTCCAACATGTCACGGGAAAACGACCGTGGCAAGCGTTACTGCAGCATGGACGGCGACGGCGACCGTTTGGTGTTTCACTACTACGACGAGGAAGGCACGTGGCACCTGCTGGACGGCAACAAGATTGCTTGTCTGTTTGCCGAGTTCCTGTCGGACAAGCTCACCGCGTTGGAGCTTGACCAGGAGGGTGTGACTTTTAGCTGTGTGATGACCGCTTACGCGAATGGTGCCGCCACTCAGTACCTCCAAGCCCTCGGCATCAACGTGGTGCAGGCCAAGACTGGCGTAAAACACTGCCACGAGAAGGCGTCGCAGTTCGACATGGCTGTGTACTTTGAGGCCAACGGCCACGGCACGGTAGTCTTCAAGGAAGCGCTAATGGAGAAGCTGCACAAGTGGGAGAACACGCTGCACGACGAGCGTAAAAAGCTGGCTCTGTCGCAGCTGCTTGCGGCATCGCAGCTCGTGAACCAGGCCACCGGCGACGCCATTTGCGACTTGTTGTTCGTAGAAGCACTGCTCATCCAGAAGAATTGGAGTATCAGCGACTGGGACGCTATCTACAATGACCTGCCTAGTCGCCAGACAAAGGTGAAGGTCACAGACCGAAGCGTGATCAAGTCGGACGACGAGGATGAGGCCAAGGTGCTGGCCCCAGAGAGTCTGTGCTCGGCGCTGGACTCTACTTTGCAAGAGTATGCCAACAAGCGCGGCCGTGCTTTTGTCCGCCCATCGGGCACCGAAGATGCAGTGCGCGTGTACGCCGAAGCGGACACGCAGGAGGATGCTGACGCCCTTGCCCTGCAGTTTGCCAAGCTGGTGCATGAGCACTGCGGCGGCGAGGGCGATGCACCCACTGATTTCGTGGCTTAGGCGATTCACAAGTAGGTGCACGAGATTCGCGAAGACTGCCATGTCGCTTGTCACAGCTCACCAGCTTGTCCACTTTGGTCGAGTCACACGTGGTGGATTCGCAGGACGGACCACGTGATGATGTCTGGTAGATAACAAGGTGGCCGAATCGATCGCGTTTGCGGGTGTACCCATTGGTGATGCCAACTTCTGAACCTGTCCGTCATCCAGGACATGATCCTAACGTTACTACTGTGAGCTGATACGCTCTGTGCAGAGGGGCGCAGACTTCGCGGGCACTTGCTTGCCTTCTCTAGCGTCTGATTGGTTGAAACCCCGTCCGTGCTGGATATTTTCATGCCGATTCTCAGCGCAAGAGCTCCAGCAGCACAAGAACTGCCCACTTGACATTTCGGAACGTCGTAGGCAGACTGTGACCAGCAGCCACTGAACCCATCTTGTCCCTCTTGCCATGCCCGCGTGTTCTGCGTGCGGTGCACATGCACCCGGCGGCCGTTTTTGCTCCGAGTGTGGTGCGCCATTCATCGTGAAGGAAGCACCGCCACTGCCGTACAACAACCAGCAACAGCAACAGCAGCAGCAGCAGTACCAGCAACAGGTTCTTCCGCGGTATCACGAACAAGTTTGGACTGAAGAGCGCGACCAGAAGAGTTTGCTGTACCCGCCTCATCAGGCGAGCGCTAACGTCCCTCCAGCACTGCCATTCAACAACCAAAAGCAGCACCAGCACCAGCAGCAGTACCACCAGCAACAGGTTCTTCCGCGGTATCACGAACAAGTTTGGAATGAAGAGCGCGACCAGAAGGGTCTGTTATACCCACCTCATCAGGCGAGCGGCAACGCCCCACAGCCAGCGATTCCTGTTGTGTACGTGGATCAAGACGCATCGGCAGCTAGAGCCAATGGCCACAACATGCCGTATGCAGCCTCAGTGTCGTCCGATGCCGAGACAAACAGCGGCAGTCGGCTCCCGTCATCCGCTAGAGGGACGGGCATGTTCAAGAGCCGATACGCAGATCACCCCAATTGTGACATTTGCACATTGGCTTTTGACGTCACCAAGCGACGACATCAGTGGTACGATGTTTGGCCAAACGACCTTTTCTCGTCTACTGCTATACATGGTGAAAACTAAAGCGTGTGTGTCTCTTGTGTGTCGCAGTCGCGCCTGCGGTCGCTACATCTGCGGCAATTGCTCGCCCCTGATGCTTTTGATCCCGGAAGGAAACCAGATCGATGGTGCGAAGGGCTATGATCCGTCCGCTCCGCAGCGTGCGTGTTTGCATTGTGCGCCCAGTTTGCATCCGCAACAACAAGAATTGGTGGCACGATATGCGAGGTCGAATAATGCCGAAATGGTACCACATGAAGCCAAGTCGAGATTGCACGTGCCGTTCTCTCCCTCGTTGGAGCAGGAGTGCACGAACGCAGCAGATATTATTGGCAACTTCTTTCGGAATGACTCGGGCGCGTCCGGGGATCGATCGATCCCGATTGCAATGCTTGAACGCGCACACGGGTTGGCCATTATGACGATAGTCAAAGCCGGCTTCTTCGTTGTTGGCAAGGTTGGTACGGGAATCGTGCTGTCGCGTCTGTCTGACGGCTCTTGGTCTGCGCCCTCGGCTATCGGCACGGTAGGGCTTGGTGGTGGCTTTGAGTTCGGAGGCGAGATTGTAGAGGTCATGATAATTCTAGGCTCGCCAGCGGCTGTACAGGTCTTCCACTCGCCCCAGGTGAATTTGGGCGCAGGCTTAGACGTCGCTGTCGGCATGTACGGACGATCGGCAGCAGCTGCAGCAGCGTTCAGCAGCACGGGGCTCAATGGTAACTACAGTTACTCGATCAGCAAGGGCCTGTATGCCGGAATATCACTGCAAGGTTCTGTCATTTCAGCTCGCAATGATCTGAATCGCAAGTTTTACGGACAGGATCTGGAACCAAGTGCGTTGCTTTGCGGGGCTGTGGACCAACCAGTGGCTGCGAAGCCTCTGTACGATGCACTCGATCGCGCCATGCGTGGCGTTGTGGAGCATAAGGAAGTGCTCGCTGAGAGGTCTCGCATGATGGGACCATGCCGCGCATGCAACTGCCAGGTCTTTGAGTCCCACGTTCACCAGGTTTGGAACAAGAAATGCAAGACGTGCGACCATGTTCACTAAGACGTGGACAGCAAGTAGATACGAGGCTCCAGACTTGATTGAACGGATCGCAGCTCTGTACGAGGGTCTGCGTCATACGCTTCGCCCATAAGTCGACACAGTAACAGCCTCATTTGCTAGTGTTCTAGTCCATCTTGACGATCTTCTTCGTTTGAAGCGAACAAGTATTGGACAAATGTTACGATCTCGTGCCCTCGTTTGCACCAGTTTGACGAGGCCGTCGAAGCGTTTGCAGTCGCAAGCTTGCAATGCGATGGACTCAAAGGTGGTACGCACAATAAATAGCCATGGCGAACATCATTGTGCCTTATAAAGCAAGTGATCGTGTCGTTTGGCTAACAAACATACATGGAGCTTGTGTAGCGTACCATGAGGCAGCTATAACATCTAGGTAAGTCATGTGCTCTCTTCGTACTGCAGCTGTGGCGATGTGATGGTTGCGATACGTCAGAGTTTAGTGTAATCGCGTTTTACAAACACAGGTTGGATCAAAACGTTAGAGAGCGAGTGGCATCGCTTACAGCTTCAAAGCGTTTTTCCGTTGACTAAGAACTTTGCGACACGTTGTAACTTTGCCCAACCGCGTTGAGCTCACAGAAGCCACACGCATCGATCCGTCGCGACAATGTCTCTTGTGCTGAAGCAAGTATCTCGATACAGATGATCATTCCCCACCGTTTCAGAAGATGCTCGATCTGAGTCCGTCATTAGTGTAGGTAATGGCTGCCTTCACAGCCACTTTCATTCAGTTTGCATCGATAGATGTAGTGAGAAGCAGTCAGGTAGGTCTCAATTGACTTGTAGGAGAGACCCTTTCCTCCTGTACGTGAGTGTTGCCAAAAGCGAAGCTTATGTCGGCACAGTCACCCAGCATGAGCTAGCGCTTATCTTTACAAGTTGACGCACGTGACTTTGTGATTAGGAAGTTGCAGCGTTTGATTGCAAGTAGCAGCAAGGCGCTTATCAGCGGTGTTGTGAAGCTTGCCACCAGCCAGGGTATAACCGGCAAATTATGCGCTCAACTGATGGCTATATTTCCTTCTCGCGTCTTTTATCACTGCTCTTGCCTTTCTTTCTTGACTTCTTCGCATAAGCACTCGACATACACGAGACGCCATTATGCTGCAAAGACGACTTGTTGCAACAAGTCGTCTTGTGACTCGCACTGTGCGTGTGTACAGTGTGTCAAGCGCTTATGTTAAATGAAAGGGTTGCGCGTGAGCTACCGGTAACATGAGTGGAATGTACCGGAACAAAGGGCGTGAGGCAGCCGGTATGACGGATGAGGGTGCAAGAAGCTGGCGCAAAATTCACTGTTTCTAAGGTCCACAATAAATTGTGCTGAAAGCGACATGTTAACCGATACCAATTCGATATTATGTTTTGCAACTGTTCAGATCAAGCAATCCATTTGCTTCGCATTATGAACTCCTGTCTTCTAGACCAGTGAGATTGCACCCTTAGTGTTTGCGTTTCATTGCAATGACTGCACAACAGCTATAATCCTATCGACCAGCCAGTGCCGGCTCAGACCAGAGTAACACGACAAGATCAAGCATAGAAAGCAGAGAACCAGGAAGCTCGTAAATCGATCGTTATAACATGGAAACAAACGGTGCCAAACATTTCATGCACTGCATACTTCTTTCCTGGTTTTGGACAGCATAAATGGGCGCTAACGTCTAGCCATTCAGTCATCTCTGGCGTCTGGTGGGCGATGGTTTGTACAGTGATTGATAACAAATTTCTGCTGCCATCTGACGTACAGTGTTGGGTCAATACCTCCTGTTCCTGCTGCTTTCGAACCCTTCTACAAAGCATCAGGCTTGTAGATACGTCAGCCTTGTGAGCTTCTGTTGCAACAGCCTTGCCCACATTCGGCATAGATTTGGCTCACAATACACCCGAGCAAGACACAAGGTGCACTTTGCCGTTACGACTGTAGAGACCATTGCATTCTCTTCTGCTTTCGGCATCAGTTTGTCCTCCATGTTGGCTGCTGAGTGAACCGGGCTGAGGTGTACCCAACTACACCGTGTGTTTGTTACAACTCTGACGCGTGGAGAAAGATCTCAATGACACGTGACGGCCAGACCGGCTATGTACGACACCGTGAACCCGTGAACAAGAGCACAGGGTAGTGAGCCATGCGGTGGCTACGTGCGGCGCGCAATCGACGACTCGCTTGCTACGTGCAGCTGGAGTCAGAACATCTAGTCGGAAGATACCCTCATGATGCAGCAATGTTGCCATATCGCATCGCGGTGCCATCCCACTTCACATCGTTAGTACCGTGCAGGCACCCGCCGCATCGATGGAACTTCAGTCGCGAAACATAAACGCTTTCTTGCTTACTTCGGCTATTGTCGTCCATCCACATCGCTACATTTGGAGTGGCGCAGCGCTTAACGAGAATCCATCATGGCAGCACAGGTGCATTTTTATAACGATATCAAATAAGCATCAAGACAGACGACTGGCACTGGAAGCAACAGCGCATCCTCCTCGCAAACTTGTGCAACATGGCTGTGTCTGGATTAGCATCACCAAGTCATCCGTCAATGCTTAGCTTGCAAAAGGTTGACTCGATGCAGCGCGCTCATGGATACGACTCGTCGCCACTACGACCATCCATGCGTGCACCTTCACCACGCGAAATAATTCCATCGTTGGATCACATCATCATCCACCTGTACTTTATGCTGTACGCGAGATAAAGTGCCATGTACGACACGGACACAAGCAGCAGCGACCATCGAATAATATCCTCTCTGGCCAAGCGTGAGCGCAACGTCGGAAACACGTCCGAGACGCTCATGGCTCCCAACGACAGCCAGAAACTCCAGGTGCCATTCACTAACCCTTCCAGCACAAATTGCTGTCGAGAACTCGGGTACACAAACACAAGACCGTGCATTTGACCAAAGTAATACCACGGCCGGCGGTGGATCACCGAGTGGAAAAGCCCACTGAACGCAACGTACACGATCCCTGAGCATAGCACGAACCAGAAGCATCGCATCTGCAACACTCCAACGACGAACTCTTTGTTCTCGTACACCACGAACACCACAAACGCCACAAAGGCAACAACAGGAATCATGTCCAGTCCTGTAAACGTACTGTCGTCATAGCTCACAGGTGTGGCTGGCACAAGATTCCCACGCGCATCGCGCACAAGGTAGCCACTGCGTTCTTGACACTGACGCACAAAAGCAGCAACTTCATTGGCGACAGCGTTCTCAACCATCTCCGCGTGCTGCACATGCTCAACTTGTTCCTTGTCCTCCATCTCAGTACCACCTGATTCTCCAAAAGGTGCCGAAAGAAGTAGAGCACTTGCATTGAGGTCGAGGAAATTCGTATCAACGTGCGGATAGCGCTGAAAATGACCGGACGCGCGTCCAGGAATCCACAGCAGAGACGGCGTCGACGACACCATGTGCTACACCACCCACACACCCACCCACCCAAACGTCATTAGTATCTCATCAATGAACTCATCCAAACAGCAGTAGCAGCAACAGCAGCTTTATGATACATATGTCGTCTCACATAGTAAAGCATTGATGGCCACACGTGGACGTCCACACGAACAACAGAAACCTGCGGCCCCCTCCACGACGCGGCTGCCCTCGTCACGGCCGCTTCGACCGACTTCTCGTGCTCTTCACAGGCCCTTTGATCTGCTTCACGGAGCTCTTCCAGTGCGCCAATGTCCCTCTTCTGGTCGTCTTCGTCTTTGGGGTCTCCAGCATCGCCACTGTCGCTGTAGCACGTCGAGCCGGACGTAAAGTGCAGCAAAAGAGGCGTCGCACGAGTCTTCGAGAGCAGATAGCGCTCGTACTGCGCCCACACTGGCGCCGGATCATCCGACGCGTGCAGCGACAGTAGCGACGACGCGTCGACCGCTTCGTGGCTGGAGGCAGTGGGGGACAGAGCGACGCCGCAGAGGAGAGCGATCGCGCGCAACTTTGTTGGGCGGACACGCATGGGCCACGTCGTGGGTTAGAAATAGAAACACTTGTTGGACGGCTGATTGCGATATTTGGAAGAACGGTACGGGGATGGAGCGGGACGTAATTGGGGGGGGGGCATGCGTTTAGAAACGGTAGCGAAATGCGTGAGCCGGAAGAGAACCGGTTGGGTAGCTTGCAGTATTTGCGGAACCGGTTCTGATCCGATCGGATGTATGCCCACACGACGCCAGATCGATTCTAGCGGTTCGCACTGATGAACGACCTTATTCAGGCTAGTGTAATCTGCCCATAGCTAATTCACAACGACGGCGAGCAAGGGCTAGCTAGAGCTTTGTCGACCACGATAGCAACATTATGAATAACATCATCATTACACTGTAATTCAACAGTTTGCCTTACTGCCGTACGTCGATCGACAAAGGTATCGAAAGTCGTATAGGATGGAAGCGTGATAGGTGAGTTCGATGTAAAGAAGTGAGGGACGATATAAAGAGAGTGAGTGAATCAATATGAAACATGGAAATCACTTCAAAGCAATTGAGTAAGTGGTTCCAGAGATATTGAGGTCATCTAGATATTGATCGTGTAAACCGCGATATAGAGAAAGCGTGAACGATGACTAGAATGACAAATGATGGTAGAGCTGCTTGCGGTAATCGTTTTCGGGTGCTGTAGTGTGACAGTATTTAACGGCTAAAAGAGCGCGACTGGTTGAAGGGGCGCGACTGGTGAGGTGAGAGAATGCGACCAGTATGTTATAGTGGCGCGACCCAAAGAACGGGCGAAGCATCTTATGGATAAATAACATTAAATCTCCGGCCGCACTTGAATAACATATTGAATGTATTGACCAATAGTGTGAGTCTAATGATATAAAACTCTTTTTTAGAAGTCAAATTGCACAAAGGCAAAATTATATCCAATCATAGAGCAGATGGACAAGTACAGCTCTCTCAGCTACCTCTACGACGAATCAGGTCGGAGAGAACAGTGCTGTTATGGTTATCAATATACAAACACCAAGTTATTCGCATATTATATAAATAACACTCAAGCTCCGACAAGGTAACTCAATCGCATATTTTACAAACAACATCCAAGCTTTAACATCTCCACCGAGGATGAGTCTGACCGACCTAGCATCTGCCAACACAAAGCGTTGTCGTGAGAACGCAGCGCGTTCATTTTTTAAGTTCCTCGAGCAGGAGGAGTTTACTTGGGAGTACCTGCAACAGTGCATGCAGCGCGAGAGGGCACCTCTCGCACTAGAAGCTGTGATGGACAAGTTTGGCATGTATCTCGCGTTCAAGGAAAGCCGAAAGGGACAGCTCTTAGCTCGACACTCGGTCATGCAGTACTTTCGACAAGCCAAGAATTGGCTGCTGGAGCAGTTCCCACAGCATCGAGCAGTGGTTGAAAAGAATTTGATCAAGAAAGGACAGACACTATAACGTCATTGCATGAAGCGTGAGTCAGGGTCGTTTGTAAACAAGGCTTCAGCATGCACAAAGTCTGCTCTCAAGAAAATGATGGAATACTTGTATTCAACTGCGGTTACTAGTGCTGACTACCAAGATGCGGCGCTGTTGTGTTTGCTTTGGTACCTCTTTGGGCGTGCATCGGACCTTACAATGCTGCGGAAGGAAAACCTGTCTATCGGCTCGGGCGACATATTCTTCGGCCGATTCATCCGAATTAAAACCTCTAAAGAGCAAGGTCTTTCACATTTCCCTGACGAAGACTTCACTACATGTCCTCTGCTTGCCATAGCTCTCGCCCTCGTGATCCACTCGTCGCCAACTATATCCGTGCTGAGTCAACTTTCTGAGCAGATGGCTATCTCACAGTCCATATTAGCTATAGCAACTCCGCTCATCGATTTGCTCGATCATCCAGAGGTTGTGGTGTCTTCAAAGGATATATTATTCACCGCTGCTAAGAAGGAGAACATCACAGATAACGCTCCTGGTGTACACAGCTACGTCAACCGTGTTCTTAATCGGGTCGCCGTAAAAGCTGGCGTATCCGAGCGCTTGACACCTCACTCTTTTCGGCGCGGAGGGGCGCAGCATGCAAATGGGGCTGGATTGTGTGTACAGTGGATCTTCGACCGAGGCGCCTGGAATATGACAGCGACAAACAAGGCCTTCGCGTACGTTTTTAATACGGCTTCCGAAGACCATAAGGTTGCCCGGATCTTGAGTGGGCGACACCTCGATACCGACGTATCTCTCCTGTCACTTGATGTCTTCGACTCCGGTACGCAGACAAAAATACAAACTGTTGCGACAGCGCTCTTCAATGCATCTCAAGGGATCAAGACTACAAAATACAACGTGAGCGAAAGAGTGATTGAAACGCTTATCACTTACCTGCTGATTCATTATCCATCGTTGAAGCAGCTAAAGAAAGACGGGCTTGTAGTCACACGTTTGGAAGCGTGTGTAATCCAGCAAGGTTACTCCGTCAGTGAACTTCTAGCTTGGTCCCACATCTAACCTGCTACACGAAGACAAATGTGCCACCGAATCCCATCAAGGCTTCAGACAGCACGATTGACATCACAAAGCATCCAATATATCTTCGCCAAGCTTCATTGATTGAACAGTTAATCAAGGTCAGCCAAAAGCTCGAATCTCGCGTCTCGATGGTTGAAGCTGAGGTCTATAACAAATCACAACCAAAATTTTCACATGAAAGAAGTGAGGGTAAAGACAAAGAACCACCAGCCAAACTTCGCCGAACGAGCTCGTCAACAAACCTGAAGGACGTCTGGTTTTGTTGGTATACCCAGGAACCCCGCCTCTGGGATTCGTTTGATAGCTCGAGCAAGCACAAGAAATCCACCGCCAAACTTGTCGTTGCATTCATGAAACTGTTTCTTGCTGATGGCTTCGTGCTTAATGAGAAGTCTCCGCAGTATCGAGACGATGTGTTGGAATTAGGCGATGTCGCTGAAATGCAGTTACTTTCGTTTCTTGGTGAGCACAACATCAAGGCTCGCGGAGCACAAAACGTCCTCAAGTCCATGCGCCAGCTACACAAAGCTGTTCATCTAAGCAAACACATTCAACGATACAGACAGCTTCAAGCCGCCGGGCGCATTATAGATCCAGCACCTGCGCATACTACAAACATCATCGGATAGATTGTCAACCCGCAGTACCCATAGATGATGGTCTTCACGCCATTGTATACATGCTGAGTGATTCCGCACTAAAGAAGGAGAAGTACAACAAGTACATATAAACAAGACCGGCGATACACTTTAGCTCGTCCCTACTCTCATGATACAGCGTATATACATCATAGTACAACAATCCATTTTACCCTTTGTCGTCGAGGTCAGATCGCTCAAAATGTTCTTGGACATGACAATATCGTATCACGATGTACACCATTTACGCACGGGGAGCATGTCATCCGGGTAGCACACGGGCGGCATGTAGTCCACCATGTAGCTGCTTACCTGTCATTGAATACATTAACGATCAATGCGCAGTTAATAACGCGCGTATATATACACATGGACACGGTGCACACGGGCGGCATGTAGTCGACCATGTAGCTGCTTACCTGTCATTGAATACAACATAACGATCAATGCGCAGTTAATAACGCGCGTATAAGTACAATGAACACGGGTGCACGTGCACATACATTAAAGCCCCATCATTTACAACTCGTCCACAGTCCACGTGTCGTGGTAAATTGACACGTTGGCACAACTCACGATGTAGTGAAGCAGATCAGCACGTAATATTTAACTTTCGAACACGCACACAAGGAAAATCAATTTGCCTCAATCAATCATACTTTTAAGCCCCATGTCCACTTATCATTGCTAGCACAAAAGTGCACACAAAATTGCACACTATAACACAATTTAGTACTGGCTTTGTCCCGGTCAAAGCGTGTCGGAGGTCGGAGATTTCATGGTATGGGTTTACATGAGATCGATAGTACCGGACGAATAAAGTAACTACAGATCGTATTGTCGAAATGCATTTAGTTTTTCATTTTTTTACCTCTAAAACAGTGCCAGCGACCGACAGTTACTTCACTCTGATACGAAAAAGAGCGTCCGTCTTCCTTTGTGATTTGGGGCCTCACATCATATAAATACAAAAAGGTAGCCAGTAGTTGTACTGTAACAATTGAAGTTTAGGGGCGTCAGGGGTACAGCAAATCGGTATTATCGGGTCCCTGCAAAATGACTTCGCATTAAGGATCATATTGGTATACGCCGTGACCATTACCAGGCGCAGATAGCGATTAATACGTAGATAATAACGTAATTATAATAGGCGATGATCGCAAAAGCTACAATATTGTACAGAGGCGAAAGGCCAAATGTAAAAGGTGCAACAATTAATAACCCAATAAATCGCAAGAAAATAGATAAAAGTCTTAGCCAATGCAGCTATCCTATCGCTGATGGGAATCGAACACCCCCAATGCGAGGTCTACGGTAAAGACGACCTTAGACTTTACGAGACTAAACAACAAGGCACGGTAAGTCAAGTCAATGAATCGGTTAGAGCATCCAAAAAAAGGTTGGTTGCAAGGTCAAATCGGCAAAACATTGACACTAGTTAAATGAGAAGGCCGAAACTGCCGTAGGTGAAGAGTCGATGATAAATTGTGTAGTTGCCCCAGATTAAATCTGAAATGATGAAGCCTGCTGTTGACCAAGTCGTGAGAACCCCACTTAGTATAAAGATAAACTACAGTGTGTATCTGGGCTTGAACACCGAAAATGTTTGCTGCAGCGTCATTTGATCGAATATCGTTCCATTTCATCGAGCGACAGCATAGACGACCGCTCGAATAATATGTAGAACCGCAAAAAGGCTGTTGCCACTAGCCTTTACACATCAAATTTCGGCTCAACGTTATATTAAAGCATTCTTTCCCATTTAAGAGTCGATCTAAACCAACATGCAAAACATTACAGCCAAGCAGACCATACTTATGTCGCAAAGTCACAAAACGAGAGAGAATGAGGCCGTA